TATATTTCTTGTAGTGTCAGCAAGAAGACTCACCAAGGGGAATCAATCAAAACTGAGAAGTTTTTGGAATTTCCGGGATCGGAGCTCACCAGTCCTTCAATTCAGTAATTAAAATAAAAATCAGTTAGTATTTTTTTTGGAAACCTGACTTCTCTCAAGCCACCATATCGAAAACAATTACTTCGAAGAAAGAACACTGACCATTACTCTAATCACTCGCCACCAGATCAGGATCGATTCCATCCATTTTACATCCGCAAACGTATCCTAACAACAACCTTGCCCAAACAGCGACGAAGCAATAATAAAAGTGAGTCAGCAAGAGATTAATACCTAATAAAAAAAAAACGAGAGAAACCTAACGTACGTCATCCGTAACAGTGATTCTCGAACAAATCGACATAGGAATCAAATCGGATCAAAGATTTCACTCATATAAGAAGACTACGAATCCCGATTCAAATCGATCCTCAAGCAAAGTGAAAGAGCACAAATCAACTTGCTATCTACATCCTACTTATTCAATCAAATTCAACAGCCTTTATAACTTCATAACAGTTATCTATAAAATCAAAAGTAAATTCAAATCGATTCATATTTTTTTTCCTTTAATTTTTCTTCTTCTCGCTTCATTTTAATAGAATCAACATTAGCTTTGTTTATCTTGTTATAACCCCAAACTAACTAGTCTTGAGTTGAAAGAAGTAAAACTAACTTCCATTCTTTTTTTTCTCTCCACCTTACTTCCTCTTCCTCTGACTATTATAAATCTCATCTTTTTCACTTGTATCGTTACAGTGTCTTTCCCCCATTTGTTTAACTCATTAGACCTTGCAAACCGAGGAACCCCTCAACAACAAGGCACGGAAGCGAACCGTACACACCAATCTACGCCAGCTCTACCCGAATCGAACCTAGACGGATCAGTTCTAGAGTTCGAGGACGCTTACGGAAATACGAGCCACGAACCGATTGTGATTGAATCCACAACCACTACACCGGCTGCTGACCCGTTATCAAACATCAAGATTGACTCACCCGGATCTGACAATACCGCGAGAGAATACGAGAGATCCCAAGGACCTCCACCAGAAATCGTACCACCTGAGTATCACAATAACAACAATCATCATTTGGTCATTCAAAATCCAGGACAGCCAGTAAATCAGCCTTATCGTAAGTCATCAATAAACTAATAATTCAAAAGAAAAATTTCTTCTTCTGTTTCTAAAAAAGAAAATTCCTTTTCGTTTTCTCTCCTGATCACCGAAATAGAACAAGGAAATCACAACCATCCATCTGGACCACCTCACGATCAGCGAGCACAGAATCACCAACAAGCTCCCCAAGAACAACAACAAGATCGAGGAACTCATAGTAATCGTAAGTAAACATATTTAACCAGTACAAGAAAAATCATAAAACATTAATAAAGTGATGTTCTGTCTTATCATTTCTCCTATAACAACTCCTCTATCGTTTCTTCCATTTTTTAAAATTTTTCTTCTTCTTATCTCTTTCTTCCATACATTCGATCATAATTCACGTAAATCATAAACCCTATGTCTACTAGAAGCTCAAGGCAACCAAGCCACGCCGGCTCAACCAGCTCACGAGGGTCAGCAAAACCCAAACAACCCACAGAACCAAGCTCAAGATCAACGAGGAGGTCAACAGTGGAGTTATTCGAACCACTACCAACCTCAGGTAAGCCGGATCCCACTTTAGTAGCCAATTTCGCTAAAGAAAGAGATATTAATAAAAAAATCCTATCTCTAACTTCGTCAGACCCAACAGCAACAAGCCGGTTACAACTATCAACCAAACTACCCGCCCAACCTAGCAGCTCCTGTGGCCCAGTACCCTCCGGCTCCGTACCATCACCATCATCCCCAAGTGCATTACCCAGCACAAGCCTCCCCGGTCTATCGACACCAACCTACCCCGGGTGTCAGCAACCCGAACTTACCTCCACCTCCTCCTCAGCAACCATCTTACCAGGAAACGCGCCAAGCCGAGGAAGCCCGACTACGTCAGGCAATTGTGGACCTAAAGCACAACTCCACGAGGCGCGCATAGCGAACAACAACGTAAGTTTTCGCCAAATCTTGGGGCAGCGAAGGAGGCGCACCGAGAACTC